CAAAATTTTAACACTTAAAGATCAAGGATCAGGTGTTGCGTTCTTTTTGGGAGACGATATAGATCGATCTTGAAAATGGCAAACACCACGCGAAAGTCTTGACTATTGTTTGAAGATTGGAAAATCTTTTTGGACCCTGGCAACCTCAATCTTATTTCCATTCTAAATTATTACCGGAAGAAAGAAGATTTTATATTTGACAAGAAGATCAAGTACAAAGCAATAACGACATTTGTATCTATTGTTGCTACTACTGAAACAAATGAATGGAAAAAGGCCGCTGCTTATTTAAAGTCTACATTGAAGGTTATATTTTATATTATATACTAAAAGAAAGATAATGTTTGTGGAAGGAGTCGGAATTTTGTTTCAATGCAACTATCTAAGCAGCTTAAATATCACCTTTAGGCTAGTTATGGAGTATCGCCCTCCGGTGGGCTCCAAGAAGTATCGTCCTTCATTCATAGTATTCAATGATCGGCTTTATTATCTGATTTTGTACAAGCACCAATGACTAACACATTTCAATTTTTCACAATCAAGCATTGAAGGAAGACGTGAAATATTTTTTGGCAGAAGTCAAATCCAAAATAATTGAGACAGAAACACAGGTTCAAAAGAAAAAATCTGGATCTGAGTATGGTATGCATCTGTATAACTTGGCTTTCACAAGAGTTTATATTAAATCTGTTGTTTGTTTTTTGTAGGTTCAATTTAATACTAAACAGTCATTTATAAATAATAAGGCACAAGCAGTACTTGGCAAGGCGAAATTGAATCATTTGTTGTCATCTCTTAATGCTACTCTGGTATGGGTTATTTCTTTATACACGGGAAATATCTAATGAATGATGCTAATTGACTAAACTGATTTATGACTTTCTGCATAAAAGAAACCGGCTAGAAAAAGGAAACCAATAAGTTATACTGAAAGCTCGGAGGAAGAAGATCATTCATCGGATCTGGACTACATAGAGAAATCCAAAAGAGTAAGTAGTTTGATATTATTTTTACCATTTCACGCATGGTCATAAATGTCTGACTCCTGATTCGGAATCTATCAAGAAACAAGAACAAATATCAAAACGATCATGTATAAAAGCGAACTGTGATGATATGGATAAGAATGTCATCATTTTATTAATGGATATACTTTGCATGAAATTACTTTAAGCATATCCCAAAAATTCTTGACACCAGAGATAATGCTACTTCACGTGAAGACACAACACGTCCAGTTATCCAATCGACACAATGAACATCATTGGATATTATTTCTACTTTGTGAGATACACCATGTCCAGTTATTCAATCAACTCAACAAGCCACAATTTTTACACTGCAAAAACTTATCATAACAAAAGATATGTATAATAGATCTTTACTATATCTCATTTGCGCATTTAACATAACAATAAATTACATCAAGGAATCCGTTGAAGAGGAATTCTATGCAGAACTAAAAAATCTATTACAAGCAAAGACTGACTTATTTTGCAAGAAACTATTATTAAGAAGCTGGATACAATATTTGAAGCAGAATATACAAAGATCAAGTCAAAAATCATTTCAGAAACATCTATTAATGGCGACAACCAGATAGAGGAAGCAAGGTTTAACTTCTTCATAAGGGATATGCTCCTAGATTTCGTCACAAACTTCAGATACAGAATGTCAAGAGTTTTGGATAATTAAATATTTGAAAGAACCTTTATTGTTGAATCTCTTTTACCTATTTTCTGTGCATTCCGAAATGCATTCCCAAATATTAAATACGATTGGATCGAAAAAAATGTTGCTTCAATAAAAGAGGCAAACATTATGTTTGCAGAAGATATCAATCCACGAAAGACAGATTTACTTGTCATGCATTTATCAGATGGACAAGCGTAGTGCTCATATGCAAAGAAGTTTTATCTTTGCATTTGGCAATGACTACAGTAATCCGATAGGGATTGGGAAACTCAGTAAATTCAAGAATTATAGAACCGGTGTTATCGTATCTATAACTGACGAAGGTTTTAAGTTCGGATTGATTCTCACGATCAAACAAAACCTACCCTAAATTATTGTAACATTGAATACACTTTACTTGATAATATCCAAAAAGAAATTAATAATCCCATGCATACAGAGGAGGATTACGAGATATTTTCAGTTCATAATATTTCGACTTTTGGCTTTCTCTTCATTGAAACCCATTTTGAAATTTTCCTAAGATTCAAGAAACTTTTTTGAAATTCTACATCCTAGGAGAAAAATTTATCACAAAATTTTCTGGAACATAATACCCTAGAAATTATTTATAGAATTCCGGAATCCATGACTACCTTCTTAAAAAGCAACGGTCCGAGTATTGAAGGGTGATGGAATAAAAATTTTCACTACCAGAAAGTTTTCATGTGAGTTTTTTCTAGGTTTTTCATTATCCACATTAATTACCTCGTGCTATGGTACACTGGGCATTCTTTACTCCATTCTGGCTATGAAATTGATCGGTAACTTTGATCTGAATTTGGATAATTAATATCGTTGATTCATTGCAACCGTTTTACTTATCGCTAATATGATTGCAAAATTTCTTCCGCAGTTGTATGATTATATAAAAAGCAATACTGATATATTCGTGGCATTTGTGGTTTTATATATTAGCTATATTATTCTTTTGTATGTTTCATACCTTTTATTCTATTATAGGTACAAAAGAATTGACAATGCTAATGGTGGCTGGCTGTTTTGGATCTGGAATCGAACAGTTAATGCTAGTTGGGTACTTACGAATTTCCTTTTGGCTATTTGCGAGTTTCCGGGATTATATAATTATGGCAAATTGTTTATTGAAAAGAATGACATTGATATTAAAAGATGATGGACTTAAAATAATTACTTTTTGAGAGACTTTGTATTGGTGCCCTTTGTGTTTGTTATTCGGCATTGTGATATTTTGAATATTTTTCATTCCATTTCAGACACAAAAACATTAATGGAGAGAGTGATGCCATTAAGGATGGTTGGTTGTTATGGACTTGGATCTGGCTAATTGATTGCCTGGATTTTTCGCAAAAGTTTGGTTGATGATTGACATATTTTCAAAATTTCTTCCGGTTTTATATGATTATAGCCTAGAAAGAAATATTCCAACTATTAAGAGATATACTGTATGAATGCTAACAGTTCCTGTTTGATGAATATTTTATTAATACCTTTCTCTATATTCATAGTTTTTCGTATAATTTATTATATTTCATGGAATTTGGGTATTTTTTACTTAGTACTAAGCAAGAAAATGAGGTGAATAATTTCTAATCTTTGGTTGATCGTTGATACTATAGAAATAAGATAAATCACTTTTTAGAGAACAAACCTAATGACGTTATAACATGAATGGAATATTTCTTTTCCTATGGTTGTTCTTAAACAATTAAATAAGATAGTTTATAAATAATGTTTTACAACAAATTTAAGTAAAAAAAATACTACATATTTTGAATAAAAGTCATAGCCAATAATTATTTTATTATAAAAACGTGATGTCGATTGGATCACTAGTTTACAAAAAAATTTATTTAAATAATCAAGTAAATTATCATAATTATATAGTATATACTGTTTTTGATTGTTACAGTATCTCGAAAATTATTTTTTAAAACTATTTTAATAAATTTCTTCACTAGATTATCTTATTACGTTAATGCGTATAATGACAAAAATAAGTAATAAAAATAAGAAATATTCTTAAATTCTTTTAATATTATCTATAAGTTTCATTAAATATTTTATAATCCTTTTTAGAATATTTATTTTAATTATTAATTCATTGATTTGAAAATAATAGATCGAAGCGAAACCATTACATAATAGATTATCGTAATATGACGTAATTTATTTATCTGACAGCAGAAACGGATCACGTGATAATCGGTCTTTTCTTTGATTATGCTATAGTTCTCTATCACATTATTTCACATTTACATGTGTGCTGTTCATTATTTCGACGTGTTTTGGTCCAAGTTAGAACTCGTGATACTACTTGGGAATCGTTGTCAGTGCAGATCCCGTCACCATTATTTATGTTATAATATTATAAGCAGTATATACTATTACCGGCTTATAGTTTTTTAGTTGAAAATCTTTAATAGTCTATTAATATAATTATTACAAACTTTATAATAACTGATTGAATTATATGATTGTATTATCGTGTTATATACACTAATTTCTTTCCGGTTTTAATAAATATTATTTATTTTAAAACCTTATATTATTTTTCTTGCAATAGTATAATGAATACTATATAATATTGAAAAATATTAATTTTACATTAATTGATTTAATATTAAACTTTTACAAT